TATCAGACGTCGGGGCAGCCCTGCACGAGGACGGGGAGCCCGATCTCTGCCCATGCACACAGGGATTGGGCTAGATGGGGCTTCACAAGGGGCGCAAAGTTGGCAGAGAGAGCCCCGCACCCCCTGGTCCCGCCCTGCAGAGACCCAGGGACCCCGCGGGTGAACTCTGGACGGACCACAGACGATTTCCACTTACAGTCTCCAGGACGAAGAGGGGATCACGGCTGTCACTGGGGTCCCCAGAGAGGAACTCCATGGTGGTAAAGAGGTGCAGGAGGCTTTTGTCCTCTTTGATGGTGACCAGAGGTGGTTTTGTGACTCTGAGTTCAATCACCAGGGGCTTTGAGGGAGGCAGCGACTCGGAGACCTAGGAAGAGTCAAAACAGAGGCCAGGCGATATCAGTCCCTGGAGCGCCTAGAAAGGAAGGCGCCGGACTGGGAAGTCCTGCAGGTCCCCTGGAGCTCTGCTGCTTTGGGGGAAACCCATCTCCTCATCGCCCCGCTTCATGCGGGCACCAGATCCCTCCCTTTTCCCCAGGGACGTGCAGGCCCTCTCTGCTGCAGCGCATTGCACACTGAGTGCACGTGCACGCAAGCGAGGAGGCCATCGGCTGCTGGTGTGCAAGCCCGCAGGCCGGCACTGCCCCCGCCGCCAAGGGAGCCCTGACGCCCCGCGTTAAGACGCCTGGCAATGCAAGTGAAATGAATTCGTCGGGCAGCGCGTCTCCCCAGCGCTCGCTGCCAGCAAAGGGAGAGCAAGCCGAGCTCGGGAAACCGGCCAGGGCCACGGGACACTTGGAGCATTGCATCTGCATCTCCAGGAGCCCCTTGGAGGTCCAGGGGAGACCCGGACTGAAGTTCACCCACCTCTGGGAGCAAGGAGGCGAGGGTGGCTGTTGTCAGCGGGGGGAGCTCGAGAGCCTGTCGGGAGGACACAAAGAGGTGACGCGTTAAGCAATGAAAAGGAAGGGTGCAGGTGGGGAAGAGAAATCATCCGAGAGTAGGAAAACCATGAAACCACAGGGGCAGAGGGGTGCTGCGAGGGAGCGCTGATGGGCTCCCACCACCCTTCTCGCTCCCGGACGTCGGAGCCTGCTTTGGCCCCAACCCAAGTATCGAGCAATCCTAGGGATGCTAAGTTACACCGGCTGCATCCCCTGGCCCACGCGCTGCTGCCTCTGCCCACCCCTATGCTGGGGAAGCCGGGAGAGGGCACAGGCTGGGCTTATGCCCACTACCACATCAGGTATCCCTTGCACAAGCTGCCCCATTTTAGTGATAACGAGCAGCTAAAATTATCCCCAAGTGCAGGGTATCGGGGCGTAAGTGTGGTGTACGTAGGGGTGTACGTGTGCAACTCGCCTGAAGAGGTATCAGGGTTTTTCAGAGAAAGCACCAGACCAGGGAGGATGCGGGGTGGGGGCACTGGGGCCATCGCACCCCGCCTTTGATTCCCGGTTGACCCAAAGTTTCCAGCCGCCTGCCCAGCAGTGGCAGCAGCATTTCTATTCAGGCAGTCACTTGACATCATGGCTGAGGTCATCATCTACCTGATTCCTACTAAACTCTTCATTCCCCAGGGGTTAGGACACTCTCCTTTTCAACAGCCCGGATGTCCCATTTAAAGCTATCCTTTCTTCCGCAGTTCTGCGGTCTACGAGCTGCTCCTGGTAAGGCAGCTCCGACTTCACAGCCTTGCAGACTGTTTTTAGCCCTAGCTAAAGCCCTTAACCCAGGTGTGAAAATAGCTTTTGCATTTTGTCATATGAATCTGAAAAAAAGAGATGTACACTTAAATCAAATAAAACAACACATTTTGATTCTTCTTTGCCTACTTGGTCATGTTTTCACACCTAATATACGAAGTAGCAAATTAACATGCATTCCACGGCAGTTCCATTTGCTTTTGCTTCAAATTTAAACTGATTAATACATCCCGGGGGGCTTTAGCTTATGAATAAAGTCTCTAGTTTCTTTCTAACTGGAGAAAAATATATGCTGAGCTGTATGTGATGGGGCATCTGCACCTTTGCAAAGTCCTCGATCTTCCCCTGGCACCAGAGGTCAGAAGCAGATTGCTCACCGGGTTGTCCGTGACGTTCAGGTCGAAGGATGCTTGCAGGAGCGTCAGCTCCCCAGCCAGGAGATTCGCCGACAGGACGATCTGGGTACCAGGCTCTGTTTTTGGCGGCAGGGAGGCCAGGGCCGGTGGGTCTGCAGGAAGGTCGACTGGATCTCCACCCTGGTGCTGGAGAATGGGCTGAAAGCACAGGCGAGAGACCCGTGTCACGGGTGAGGCTCAGCACCGGGGGGGTGGGGGGATGGCTACAGGCAGGACAAGTGGCCTCGTGGTGAAGAACGTGCCGGGCAATAGCCTCCGTGTGAAGAGCTGGATGGAGAAACTGCCCGCTGCACCTCTCACAGCCCACCGTCCTGTCCCGCACACCCCAGGAGGTTTCTTGGAGGACCACCCCACAGAAGAGGGGCCTGCTGGCACACCCCGGCGACGGCACTTACCTTGAGATGCAGCTCTATGAAATCTTGGCTTATGATCGGCGGGCTCAGCAAAGTGAATTGGATGCTCCCCAGGGCACCGAAGGGGATCTTGGCTGCAGAGAACAGACGGTGCGTTGCAACCCGCTGTGGTGGGCACTGCAGCTCCTGCAGACCAGGGCCGTGCAGCGCAGGCGCGACTGAGGGCCGTTTGCAAGGAAAGCCGTCCGGCGCAGGGCTGCCATGGGCAGGACCCACTCTGGTGGGATGCAGGCCCCCAGCACGCGTGCCAGCAGGAGGCCAGACCATGTCAAGAGGACACGGGATGCCTGTTTGGCTTTGCAAATGCCAGGTTGTTTAATAAAGCACTTTAGCAAAGAGCTCCATGGGCCACCGGGATTGCACAGCGAGGGCCACGTGTTGCACACCCCTGCTTGAGAGCAGGAAGGGAACCGCACGCAGCCGCACGGCAGCATCTCTTCCCAGTGCTTTGCTTAACCAGGCAGGCTAATTAGCACCGGTGAGCAGTGGTATCAATCAGCCCACCCTGTGCTAATTAGCCAGCTGCCAGCATTGCACAGACGCGACTCCACTGCCGCGGGCTAAGAGGCAGGTTGCACGGAGCCGCGGCACTTGCCGGGCTGGAGCGCGATGTGGCCACGGCCTGAGGAGTCTGCAGAACAACCAGCTACCTGCTGAGGTCCCAGGTCAGGGAAGCATTCAATGGGCTTAATCTGAAGCATGTGTGACTTCACTGGGACTCGAGCATCTTTTCAGTGCTAAGCTCATGCTCAAATGCTGTTCCCGATAGGGATGTCTTCCTGAAGGAGGGGCAGTGATGGGGTGGACCAACTAAGGCCACCGGCACAGGATCAGGGCCTTCCCTGCATCCGTGCGGGTCCTGGACATGTCTCGAAGCAGTGGTATCTTTCCTGCTACAAGTGCACGAGCCGGGCTCGTGTCGGGCTTAGTCCCGTCGGGCCTTTCGCTCGGTCTCCATAGCCCGGCTGTGCCGGCAGGCGTTGGGTTTTGGTGGATTCATTCCACGTCGCGGGAAAGGGGGATAAGAGGAAGCCACCAACTTACCCATCATGGTGTCAAACTTGGCGTTCATGAGTCCAAGGACGGCACCCACCGCTGGGCACAGCTGCAGAGCGAGAGGAAAGGAGCAGCTCTCATGAGACGCGGGCAACGCAGAGGTATGAACTCCCGCTCGGGTGAACACCTTGCACTCCTGGCTGCTGCAGCGAGGTAGGTCCCTGCAGCTCAGCGTCCGCCCAGCCGGCAGCATGGCCGTGTTGGACAAAGGAGGCACCTCTTACCCCTGTGCTCGCTCTGTTTTCCATTTCTTTCATATCACAAGGTGCAGGGATAATGCGCGTGTGTGTGTGCGTGTACACACATCTGTGAACCCGTGCAGCGAGTAGAACCAAAAACACACACCGGTTTTACAAAAGCCAGTGCTGCTTTAAAGGCCAAAGTTAAACAAATAAAACTTTCACTAAGTCCTAAGGAAGAACTACTCCCGGGAGGAATGATGGCCAACGGGGGACGCACGTTCTTGGACTTACCATGCCTGGCATGACTTTCTGAAGGGTGCTATCCAGAAACTTGTTCACCATTTTGGGGAGCATGCTGAGCAAAGATAAAGCGACACAGTCATCAGAGAGGTTCACAATACTACCGATCCAGGTCCCCACCCCAGGCTACGACTCCGAAAGAGCAAAAGCAGCAGCATTTCCCAACTGAAATATCTTGTTTTTCAATCAATATCTTTCCTGCTTCAGCCAATATATTTTTGCATCAGAATTCCTGCCCCCAATAGCACTTGTTGCCCACGGGCACAAATGTTTGGGCAATTCACCCCGGACAGGCAGCCGGTGCAGGACCTATGCCCAAGTCACGTCCCCGCCGCGCCCACGAACGGAACGAGGTCATCGCTGTTTTTGTGCAGAATCCGGCTCTGGTTTTCAAACCCATGATTTACAACGTGCCCTGGACCTTGAGCCGGGCACCTAGCAAACATTACGGCATTATTCATACTGGCAAACCTAGTGCACGTTGCCCTTCTTTGTTCTCGATGGCAGGAGCGTCCCGACCACTCACCTGCTGGGAAGGTTGGTTTTAACACTGACAATAGCAATCTGGCAGTTCTCAACGCTGAATTTCGGGCTCCCCGAGTCGGCCTGCGACAGCTTGTTCTTCGCGGTCATGTTCGCCACCAGTGAGATTTCCATATTGCCACCTATGAAGCTGCGCAGAGCAAAATTCAGTCAGGTTCAGGCGTGCTCCTGGTTCGGTTCCCGGCATCCTGCACCCCGACCGCTCGGGGATTAGCCTCAGCGAGCACCGACCCGGCGATACGGAGCAAGCCTGGCTCCGTGGCCAGAGCAGCTCCCCTTTCCGAGCTCGAAGGATCGAGCGGCACCCACGAGCAGCGACGCTTTTTAATCACGACCTTTGAATATTGCTAAAAGGGCGCAGGGAGCTGGAGGGGGGCTGTCATAGGAAAGGGAGCCGCAAGACTGAGAATAAATTGTGTATAAAGTGAGACCAAGGTGGCTTGCCTTGCCTTTTTATCTCGTGGCGCTCTAGTTCCCCTAAATTGACCTATTTCTCACTCCTTTTCAGGTTGTCTTGCTTGATGGAGACCTGGGATATTATATCCACCAGCTGGAGATGCAGATGTAAGGCCTATAACTGTGCTGTGCTAAGGGGATCGCGGATGAGCCAAAATGCTGCATGAACAGGGGTAAGGGCTGTGCACCCGGAAGCTTGCAAAGAAGAGTTTTTCCACCTATTTGAGTTGATCTAATAAAAGGTGTCGGATTCACCCCCAAAACCGTGTCTGCCAGGGATGAGAGCAGCTCATCGTGTCGTTTGTCTGACGTGGACCTTCCTGGCGGGAGGAGCAATGCACCACGGGGTTGTACAAAATTCCCAGTTCACATGACTCACCCGAGCGGAGCGCCCTCCCGCATCTCCCACTCACCTTCTCCCAGCAATGGTTATTTTGGTGAGAACGGCCATGAACAGCCCCGTCCCCGGTACGAACGTCAGGGAGATCTCCGGGGGCTGCAGGTCTTTCACTTTCAGCCTAGGCGAGAAAGACAGAGGCAGCGGAGCAAGGAAAGAGGGGTTAGCAGAGCAGTAAGTCCGTCTACATGCCGTGCAATGGGGCTGGCCAGGAAACAAGCCTAAAACATCCAAGTGCTGTGCTGACTCCCGGTTTTTGGGCCACACAAGAGCTTCTTTAATCATTTCCCCCCAAAAAATGAGGCCCAGGAGGGAGATCTGCTGCAGAACAGCAAGAGGTTTGTGTGCAGAGCCAAGCTGGGTCTGCCACGACCCAGCGCCCCGAGTTTTCCTACTTAGTGACCAAACCGAAAGGATCAGGGAAAATAAGGGGTCCTGGTTAAATTGAAGCAGAAACGTCTGAAGGAAATAAAAACTTGTTTTTGGGGCCCATTCAAAACACTTCAGGCATAGGGTGTTTGTACCCAAAAGCTTGCAAAGAACAATTTTCCCAACTATTTAGTTGGTCTGATAAAAGAGATCACACATTTACCCAAGGAGCTTTGTCTGCCCATTTTATCCCACACATTTTCATTCAAAAAAGGGACCCGGCGCTATGCAGGGATGCACGCAGCACCCCTGCCGTGGGCGATCCTGGCCCTTTCAAACACCTTCACACTCGCGCCCCCCCGTCTCTGGCACCGTTCGTCTCCGGGAAAGCTCCCGAGGGGGCTACGCCGCGTGCCAGGACCTTGCACATTGTACAAGCCTGCTCCAAACTAAGCAAGGGCGACAGGATTAATGTCTGCGCCGCTTTGAAGTAGCGGTTCTTGTGCTGCGTTGCCCCCCGGTTACACCTCCGCTTACTTCTGTAGGGAAGCGAGGCTTATATTACCGGCACGCCGCTTTCCATTGAAATCACTCCTGTTGGTGGCTTCAGATTCGTTTGCTGCTTCTGCCTTTGGGCGGACGCTTCCGTCCCGAACGCTTTTCCCCACCATATTTCACCATCAAAGGATGCACAGCTGCAATCTCCCACTCACCCCGTGATGCCTTTGATGGGTTTAACTCCTGGCTGCTTCTTTGACGCGGCTTCTGCCAGTTTCTGCAGCACGTTGCTCTCGGCCATGGCGGTGGTGACGGCTGGAAGGTTTCCACAAAACAAACCGTGCTCAGAAAAGACCCCTCGTCTCCGCAGGGAGGAGGCTGGGGGAGTGCGGGAGGGCGAGGGGAAACTCCTCGTCGCAGGTCAATCATTCATGGCCCCGGGATTTCGGCCCCGGTAAGCGTAGGTCTGAGTGGAGCAGCGGGTGGGGGATTTGCACGGGGACAATGACTAGCAGTGTGTGCAGTTGTGCTCCGTGGGGGCTGCAGCCCATTTCTGCTGCCCGGGCCGCTCAGTGCTAGATGGGAAATAGCTTTTATTCAACGAGCCGGACTCTCCAGGCTCCCACCACACAAGAAAACCCCAGACTGCCTAGGACACCTTGCTCTGCTGTCCCGACAAGCAGGCCGTGCAGCTTACGTTACTGCGACGCACCCCAGCGCAGCATGAGAGCCAAGGCCCAGACCTTGGGTCCGGAGCGGTCCCCAGGGGCTTAAACGTGACGCGTTCTGCTGTTAAAATGCAACACACGGCTGCCGCCTCATCGACGCCCGGCTGCTCGACTCACCTTGATCGATCGTTTCGATATCGATCTCGAGAACGGCCCCGGGGGCATCGGTCCCATGAGACGAGACCAGCCAGCCACAAAGGAAGAAAACGCAGCAAATCCCGGACCTCGGCAGCTCCGGCATGGCGCGCGATGTCCCAGCCGGCAACGAACAGGCCTAAGCAGACGTTTCAGCCAAAATGAGCAGGAGATCGCCAGCCCCTGATCTCTTGACAATAAAAGAAAAGTCAAAGTGAAAGCTCATTTTGTGGTGGGGTGGGAGGACCCATATAACACCTGTGCAAACTGCCTCATCCCTCGACCTGGATCTGAAGGCAGAGACCCAGGCTACTAGACCCACCCATGCCCACAAGCACCCAAGTTATCAGGTTATTTTCCCAGGGAAGAAATGCACTCAGCAAAGAGAGTTAGCGCAGGATTGCCCTGGTCCAAACGGGCATGCGTCTTCCTGTGCGTAGGCCTGTCACATCCCCATTGCCCCTGCAAAAGCCAAAGGGTGGTAAAGACCCTCTGGCTTAACAGTCAGATGATTTTTAATTCAGTAAAAAGGTCTGAGACCAGCCAAAGGCTGTACAGACCCCACGGCTCTGCCCCTCCACGGCCTCGCACGGCGCCGGTGCTGCCACCAGCCTCGGCGTTTCCCACCACCGGAGACTTCGCCAAGGAAATGCATTGCTCTCACCTTCACGGGTGCCCCTCTGGTGCAGGACCTGCTCGGGACCCGCCAGAGCCTGCACCCTCCCTGCTCCCGGCGACCTTTATATGTGAACATCCTGAACGAGCATGGGGGGAGGAAGGAAGAAAAAAAAAGGGAAAGGACGGATTAAAAGGCAGGATAATTCACGATGTCAAATTAACTCCTGGGTGGTTGCTGGCATCTTCCAATATAAATAATGTTGCTAATGAATGTGACGGTCTGGGCAAGTCCCTGAGCCGTGGGTATCAGATGAATGCTCAGCACGCGCATGGAGCCAACATCTTGCTCAACTTTCCAGCAGAGCCGACTGCATGCAAATGCACAAGGGCAGTGTTTTCACGTCTTGAATGAGAAAAAAGGATACGAACGATGGTACAAATGGAAATGGGGAGGGAGGAAGGAGAGGATCAATAGGTCAGTTGTGCTTCTGGAGAGAGGGGCTCCATGGTACACCTTCCCCATGAGATCTGCCGCTGGGCACCCGCTCACACCGAAAGGCATTTGCCATCCTCGTATAAATCTCCAAGGAAATGGGGCTGATCTACAAGCCAGTGAAGTTGGGTGGGGAGACTATTGATTCCCGCGGTGTTGGCCGAGGTTCACAACGCATTGATGTCCAGGGGTCGGAGCAGGGACCAGGGAGTCAGGACTCTGGACGGCCGTGTCTAGCTCTGCCACCGGCACGTGGCCAGGAGGGAAGCGTCCAGACTTGATGTTCTTGCTCAGTCCCACCAGCGGTTATGTTGCCACATCGTGGAGGAAGACAGAGGAAAGGGGCAAAAAGAACGAAAACCAACACTATTTTTTCCCAGAGATAATACAGGCACTTCACTACTTTCTTATGCGCGTCCGCTCTACCGATCGCAGCTCATTGCCTTCCCCATCACTTCTAATTCTCCATCCCCCTCGGCTCTGATCAGGGCTGAAGGCAGAGATGTAGCTGCTTTCCCTGCTATTTCCGCTCCAGACAAAGAGAGACACCTGGAAACAAATCTTTCGGGAAATGCTGTTCTTACTACATTTCCAACCCAGTTTCGTAGATTAAAGAGACCAAGACAAAGCATGAAGAAGTATTTGGGGGCAGCCATCTATGCATCTGCAGTCTCGGTTTACCTGTATGTATATCGGGGTTTGCAGTGCATCTCTCCCTGCCTGCACATCTCAGTACTGACACCTCCTTGACACCCCTGGTACCCCAGACCCCGCTTTGCTGAGTACTGGAGGTTTACCACTGCTCTGAGGACCAAACCCGATGATCGCGGGCATCCATAACCACACACAAGGCAAATAGTAACAGGCAAGTGATTGATTCCCTCTCTGTATTTCTACATAGTGTTTCCTGAAGCTAAAACCTCTTAATATCTTCCTTTCAGAAGCACGCCTGAGGTCTTCCTCCCAGGCACCAAACCCAAGTTGGAAGATTTATCTCTTATCTAATAGGAATTAAAGATTTACAGTCAGCTCCAGCTTAACTGCCCATCAGGTTAGAAAGATGCTTTTGTGCTGGTAAATTGATCAGCCATTACCCTATAAGATGACATCTAATTAAATCCCCACTGGGACAGGCAGGCAGAGATAGAAAGCCATGTCTAAAAGACACGGGGTTTTCTTATCCCCTCCGCTTATCCCCATCCGTTGAAAATGATGATCACGGGCCAGGAACGAGCGCAGCGGAGGGCACCGTCGGCATTAGTTACACGAGAAGGCAGCTTAAGGAGGGCAGGGGTGTGCTCAGCTCCCTGTCCTATAATAAAATGCTTCTTTGTTAGCCCAACTTATAAGGTCTGGTCAGAGCTAAAATGCTCCAGAGTTTTGAATGGCAAAAC